GTGCCTACTCTCCGGTCTGTCCCTACTCTCCAGTCCGTGCCTACTCTCCAGTCTGTCCCTACCCTCCGGTCTGTCCCTACTCTCCGGTCTGTCCCTACTCTCTGGTCTGTCCCTACTCTCTGGTCTGTCCCTACCCTCCAGTCCGTGCCTACTCTCTGGTCTGTTACTACTCCCCGGGTTTTTTGGTACAGGGAATTTCTTGATACCTTGCTAGATAAATCGATCTTTTATTTTATTTGCCGCTTACAAAGCGCCATGATGAAATTCAATTATCTTCACAAACTCGGCTGCCGAACCGGACGCTCAAGGGAAGTGCATTAAAATAATGTCGCTTTAGGCTCCATGCCCCTCCTGGTGTTGCTAGATACAAGAATTCATCCTTACAAGTGGTCAACACCTTTCTCAAGATTAACTGTAAAAGGGAAAATCTTACATTCAAAAGTTCTTTAGCTGACTCTATTTTTGACTTTTCTATAAACCCATGAGCTGGACTTGATAGCGCAATTTTCAAAGGAGCGACTCCTGAAATCAAGGCAGTTTTGTCACTGAGACAGATCACAATGAAACCAACAGCTGCTACATCTGCCTTCCAGTTGCTCAGTATGTTGCTGCTTAACATACTGTCTCCAAAGTCCAATGTTTGCTAGAGATATCATTAGCCCTTCATAGAAATCAAGGGCAAGATTTTGCCTACCCAATTGTATCTCTCCTTTCCTGTTTAGGAGGACATTGCTGCAATCAACCGAGCCGTGTGATATGCCAAGCTTGGAATGAATATAAACAAGACCATCGAGAATCTCTCTGCAAATAGTGGCTATATCCGCCTCACTGAAATCCACGACCCCCGCCAAGCCGCCTAGTGGAATAGCCAGATGCATGTACTCATAGACTAAACAGATCGAGCTGGATTCTGTGTAGAATTCTGTCAATGGCACTAAATTTTTGTGTGAAGCTTCCTGGAAAGTCCATGACTTGGGTATTTGGTGTTTCTTTATCAGGAAAGTAGGAAATCCTTCAACATCTTTTAGAGCAATCATCCCATAGCCTGCTTGATCAACATCATATGACTTATGGTAATTGTCCTTTGGTTGTTCTTCCTTCACAGTTGAAAGAGGGGGGGCGTTTCTGTGCGCTTTTATCGGAATTCCAAAACGATATGAGCGGTCAATGAGTGTCTGGGACCTTGTTGCATTATCTCGCCCAGTAAGAAATTTACCACTGCGCTTTTGTTGAACAGGATCATCAGCCCACAATGATTCTGGCAAAACTGTTTGACATTTGGAACTTTCCCCCATCACCTCAAGTGGCAGCTAAGCGCCCTTCACGTTAGGGAAATTTGCACTTCAGAGAGTGAAAGAAGAACAAGAAAGAGACAAGATATATGAAATGGTCCAAATGGGTTCCAGGCTTCTTCAAAAATTGATGCAGGTTTATGCCAACAGAACTTCCTGCAAGCCTTGAAAGCCTTGGTATTTTTGTCATACTTGTGACTAAAATATGGAGCTGATACTGAGCAGATAATCAACTTTTAATGATGACATTTACTTCCAGTCGGGTCTCTGCAGTCTTGGGTTGAATAAACCAACGGTTTCCTTCCAGTGTCGCAAAATTCCGAAGGTGAGCGCCTGGCCGATCGCACCTACTATAGTAAGTTTCGGTCCACTCTTGCCCCGCTAACAGTTGTCAATTCATGTTTCCCAAAACAGTTTGGTATAAGATTATGATGCAAATTAAGATACTATCTGCCGAACTGTTTGGTGTCGCAATCAGTCGGATATTCTACTGCGGACCCAAACGGTTCGGTACCTGCACTAAACAGAATGATTATGCTATATTTCAGAATATAAGACACCAATTTCATTTCTGGGCTTACATCTCCATTACCCTCCACTTCTTTCCGGCCCTAAGATTTTTTCAAGGAAATTCGCTGCCTAGATGGCCCCAGCACAGAAGCTTGATCCACCTTTTGACTTGCCTGTGCGCAAGTCGAGCATCATACCCGGGACGATCTTCCCCTCCACTCCAGTGCACAAAGATACAGGAAAATGTGAATTCATCAAGCATGGCTCACCATATGACCAGCGTGATCGACTGTTCGTTGGTTTAAGTCGCTCATGGAGGGGCATTGATGCCATTGAGTTCAAAGATGGGTCGCTGGTTGGATACATCAGCCATTGCAATACTGAAGGGAAAGATATCCCTGTTTATCACCTGTCCCAAGTTTCCCACCCTAGCTTATTGATTGCCAGGGAAATATTTGTTGCTAGAGGCAATGTTTACTTTTGTTATGGACATTGGGGAATCACATTGAATGAGATTGAACAGCTTTGGCCAGTATATCAGCTCAGTGAAGTGGAGGTGGCATTGGTTTGCAAAGCAGTAAGCTCTAAATGAACAAGAAAATGTAAAGGCCTTGAACTGACGTTTTTGAAGACCCTTGAAGGCCTCAGATATCTCCACGAAGACCTGGACATTTGCTATGGTGGCTTGACAGGTGAAAATGTCCTAATCACTGAAGGGGGCGATGTGAGGATTAGTAAGATCCAGCTCAGCACAATGCAGAGTTTAGCTGACTTGGTTGCAGCCAGTATTGGCGAGTCTCTCCTCAAGAAGCCTAAGAGTAACATACATAGCAAGGCCAAAGACATTCAGGCTGTCTGCAATGCAGCCTGGAGACTGCTTCGGCTTGAACGACTGGTTAGAGTACGTGGCACGATCGGCCTGCTTGCTGATGACCTCGCTGGTGCACCACCTACAGCAACTGCTGATGACCTCCTTCAGGTAAGATTCATTGAATAAAGTCTTAGATGTACTGCTGACTGAATTTGCAAGCATCCATTTCTACAAACCAGCGCGGTGTCATGGTGCCTTCGTCCTGTTTATACACTTTGTACAATCGCCCAAGGTAGCAAGCAAGATACAGAGATCATCTAGGGAGGTCGGGTTGAATCTTGGGGTGCAGCTCAAAGCAGTCAAGCCAGATAGTAAATGAACCACCTGATCCTTTTTATTTTTTATTTTTTTTATGTGAACAAGGTCTATGGAGCTTTTTGCCATCAAGTGATTATTGATCTTCTAAATTGGTTAAATCTATCATCAAAAAATTCGGCTGTATCACTCCTAGGAACGTGTTTAACCCAACATGGAACCAATGGCCACCGAAACAGTACTCGTCTTAGGCTTGCCCCACTCAAATGGTATTAGATAAGTACTTAAGGAAGACCCGTTCCTTCGTAGTTATTCCAAATGTCCACAAAGATGGAAACCTCTCGGACCCCAGCTTCTCCCCATGAAAATGTTTCTATGAATCGGGCCAACATGTTACGTTCCATTGAAACCAGATATGAGCAGATGCTTCTTGATGAAGTTCCCTGGTACTTAAACCTGGTTGCTGAGTTCGCACACTGGGCGCTTCTTGCTGGGTATCTGGTTATTCCAGGCACATTTACTTCACTTCAGAAGTCGGATGCTCTAGAGAAGAGCCTGGACAAGACTGGGGCTGGTAAAGCCATCCTCAATACAATCCAAAATCCCCCGCTTGTAGCAATTGCAGTGTTTCTCTTTTTACTTGGTGCCATGTTGACTGCCTGGCTCTTCTGGGAGCGAAAAAACAACTATATATGGCTCATAAACCGCTTGTTTATGTGAGTGATACTCAAACACCAATATGGGTAGCTGTACTCAACTGAGTTGCCTTTCACAGTCCAACACTTCTCAATGCTACAGCAGGGCTGGTCACATCGCTTGTCAATATTTACACAGCAAGGGAAGGAAATTGGTCGATTATGGCATTATTGACCATCATCACCACCGGCCTTTCTGCTTCAGGGTTTCTGGTTTTGGTGATTATCTACAGGTGTGGAAAGCTTGTGAAAATAAAACAAGAGCATGACTTTGAAGTCAGCGCTGGCTTCCACAGAGTGATGCCCTAGAAGGACGCAGTTTGGACTGTTGAGGTTCAGTCAACAGGCATTCTAAGCCATAGCCATTATAGCTGGACTGTTGGAGTGTGGACTTAAACATTATTTTTCATTACTTGTGTCTGTAACAACCTGCAGTGGATATGATATGAAACTAGAGATGATTGGATTGTTGAGAGAAGCGCTGAGCTCGCCTAATAGTTAACTAGTAATCTATGGTATGGTCACAGTGGCATTCAAGGCGTTCCTAATTGGACCGACTATTTATCCAACCGATCCCTGTGGCGAAATGTGGCCCATCCCGTAATTATGTATTTTGCTTCTTATTGGATTGATTATGGAAATAGACCTGACACGTAGTCCGTACTCCGTATTAATTTCAAGCAAAAGACTATGAATGGAAATCAGTGCCCACAATTATCAGGATTCGGCTGAACCGAAGTGTCGGGCCCGGGGTTTGCGAAGCACTTGTGCCGCAAAACTCTTGAGCTTCACCTACATAACAGTAAGATTTAAGGTACAGAATGCAGACCCATTCGGTTCACAGCTACACAGTTGTACTGCAATATGTAGCCAAACAGAGACATCCAATCAGCAAATAAACGGCAGGGTTCAAGCCAACTACTCCGTATGAAAGTTGGTTGGACGGGTTTGTCGGGCCGAGCGCCGTCAAACTTAGTTGGGTTCACAAGCCTCTAGCTTTGAACGCCACCGATGGATCATATGTTGGAAACAAGCGATAAACACTAATCTGAATCTGGAATTTGGGGGATGATCCTCAGTGAACTTGCCAAAAGTACGATCCGCAGATTAACTGTCAAAGCCACATCAGTCACTAATATCAGTGCATAACACATATTCCTAGCCTAGACTTGAGGCTAATAACATTCGAGGACAATGGATCGGAATATTTTGGGTACGACCAAGCCGCTCACACTTACAGTGGCAAACCAACATGTTTGTTTTCAAGCTCAATTGGGGTAATAATGTGGCGGGAGCACGTGTATGATAGGATCAAGCATGGCGCTGATGAGAGGATGGTCCTCATCCATGACCATGCTCCGTTCACAACCATGGCTATGATACGTCTTGTCTCATTAATTACCTCTTCTTAATTGTCTCTACTTCTCTATATCACATATAAATCCATTCCCATATTGATCTGCCCATTCTGACTAGGTGTCGCGATGAAGGCTGCTTTGGAATTTGAAATAAAGAAAAGGGCAAGGTGTCACGGGCTCAGCTAAGGTAACAGAACATCCAACGCACAGGCTCTACCTAGGTAGCTATCGACGAGAATAATTGACATGAGGAAGGAAGAAAGAAGGTAATGCTGTAGTTATCAACAAAACAAACAACTGCACCTCACATGATAGCCAACCAACGTGACCAGGCCGTCACACAAGGGAAGATCAGTGAACAAATAGTATACCATATCAAGGCCGCCGAAAGGCAATAGGACTAGGCCGGCCCTCTTGGCTCGGGAATTTGCCAAACCTCTCCATTGCTATCCGTTCTCATTTGACAATTTCATCCACAGTCTCAGACAGGTTGCCAATAGTATCAGCAATTTGATTGGTCTTTGCATTAAGGCTATCAACCGCCAGAGATGTGCTGACCACTTTTGCAGATAGGCTTTCGATGGCAGATGACATGCTATTGACACTGGAAGAAAGCGTCTCAACCGTGGCTGAGAGGCCCTCGACGTTTGTAGAAAGCCTATCGACTTTTGGATGAGGCTTTCCTGTCATTGAAAGATGCTTATCAATGGTCATAGAGATATTGTCCATAGGGGAAAACCCATCAACATTGTCATGCATAAAATCGGGGAACGGATGTTGGCTTTCAGCCTCACTGCGCTTGTCTTAGCCATCATAAACATAAGCAAAGCTTAGCTTTTGTCATACTTAGACATGTCTGAAGGATCAATACTTGTCTGATAGGCTCTGCCAATGATGTTGGTAAGTTGGCACAATGTGTCTTTGCCAGGACTTAAACTCACCCGTTTTGCCAACTTCCCACATCTGGAAGGAAATGACTCCCGCAATTATAGGCATTATTAGATTCATCTAGCTCTGTCGAGAGCTCTTGCATTGGATATTCTTTTATCATTCCACCTGCTTCCATAATAGGGCTCGAACATCCAGTTGCCGTGTCCACGAAAGGGCCCCTGAACTGTAAAAATGGGCCGAGAAAAGTGCTGCAATTCCATTCGCCACTGGAAGAATATGAGTTCATATGGGAGTTATGGTCAAAATGTTTGTTTTCAGACATATCAATTTAGTTTAGTTGAAAGAATTGTAAGACTGGAAAGGTAAAGAGATAGAAAAAAAGGAGAAAAAAATAAGGCTTCTTCTTTTTCCTTGTGATTGAGGTAGCTTTATATAGCATTATCACGCCAGCAAAAGCCATTAGTGGTGATCATAATTGACAACGACATCACAACAAAGGAAACAGCTCGGGTGTATCTTCCATTTTACTTCCAGCCAATCAATGGGCTGTTTCTATTTAGGATGATACGGCACGGTTTAGGCTGGATGCTTTTTATCACTCTAGGATAGCTGTTGGAACTCTGTTGACTTTGACTGGTGTATTTTTTCTCTTGTTTCAGTAAAGTTTGGTCACTGGTCAAAATGGTTCTTAACAGCATAAAGAACATAGAGTAGTACCTTATAACTCTCCAATTAGAAAGTATGAAGATGGCAAGATAGGGATGCAACAACAGTATTGCTTGTGTCCTGGTTTCCTTCATGTTGGTGCCCTTTCCAGAAATATTGAAGCATCATTATAATGCCAGGAACCAGACTGAGGCTATCTAGGCACGGTACTTTGCAGCAGCTGTGATAGACAAAGGAAACTCGGAGTGCGCGGAGAATAGTTCCTTGGGTGGACCCAGGACAAAGACAACCGTGCGGGGCCGGAAGAATCGGATCACCCACGGCTAGATAGAAAAAGCTGACTAGATCTAGCCACTGTGGACAAATTCGGCATCGATACTTTGTAGTTTTCAAAGACCGCTACGAAAGGGACTTGATGACCCTCCTGGTGCTAGTTTCAATTCAGGTAATATTCATGAATATTGGTCTGGCATGCCGTGGCTATGCAATTGGACCGTGAGACAGACTGCTTTGAGTTAAACATTCAGATTGCAATATGAGTGTATTTCGGTATCCATGGTCAGGAACTTGAGTCGGATCCTGATATCATGGCCATGTTCGCACGTGGGAAAGTGGATGCCAATCCCGCGGGTCCATTGGGATCCTCATTACTGCAATGATCAGGTCGAATGTGGCCATACGATTTACCAGCACACAACAAGAGTAACATAGAGGGATAGATACAGTTTTTTTCACGCCATTTCACACTCAAATTCTATCTGTTAATTATCACGGGTCAACCAGAGAAATGGGCTCAGAATTCTCCATTCAACTTTCTAAGCAGCGACGACCATAATATCAAACATGAGGAAAGAAAGAAGGTAGAAAACATTGTTAAATCTTTGCCATCACATGACAAGCCGTCATGTGACAAGAATGCTCTTGTTCTAATCAATACTTTATCAGACTTCTCTGCCGCCAAAATCGCGACCACCTGCTCGCGATTTTCCAGCCAGCCACCGATCTCAGACACTACTACCACCAATTCCATGTCCGACGTCAATATGGGGGAAGCCCCGGGCGCCCACGAGACTCCGACCGCTTCCCCCCGTGAGCCCACCACCCCGAAGCGACCACCCAAACGACCGAGACCAGAGACACCGGGAAAGGATATACAGGCACCCCCTACGCCCAAGAACTGGCAGCCCGACCGGGATACGCCCCCTGCATCCCCCTCCTACGAAGCTCCCCAAAGCCAGCTAGGCTTGGAACTCCAAAGCCACATTGCAGCAGCAGTGGCCACACGCACCGCAGAGATAAAGTCTACAGGAGAGGAAGTCCTAGAGCTGGCCTCCGCAGTCAGCCAGAAAGTGACTAACTGGGAAGAGAAAGGCCTACAAGGAGCAGCCTCCCTGGGCAGGGACATCAGGTCCCTGGTCCTCAATTTCAGCAAGAGCCTCGCAACCAGGATCCCCACCAAAGAGAACAAGAACCACCAACCCCCCTCAAAGCATAACAGCTACGCTGAAGTGATGAGAACCTCACCCAACACCCCCAAGACACACCCCAAACCACCCAAGACCCCGTAGTTACAGAGGTTGAGAGGTGAGAGGGTCTCACAAAGAGGAAAGAGTATCACCGCACTCGCTACCGAGTTAATTTTAAGCGAAATCTACAATGACTGGGAAAGCATTGATGAGAGTCTACAAAGTGAACGCAAACGGAAATTCGGACAGGAAAATCGACAGGCCAGAAGGTGGTTGATAGCAGCATCCAGGCTGTCTTACGGCGCTCTCCTGATATGTGGGAAACAACTAGAGCAAAAATTGTATGATATACCCCCAAGATTATTTCCACTGGACCAGTCATTAACTTTTCCTTCCTTCCCCCCCCCTTTTTTTTTTTCTTCTAAAAAAAAAGAAACAAACATTCCACAGAAAAGCAAGTTGTTGCATTGGCAGCCTATATCGCCCAGAACTTCCCAGAGATTGTGGAGACCTACGGTCTTCTGGATTCGGCCGTGAGGAGTTTTCTTAACCAAGATAATGCATTACACCTAACTGAGGTTGAGCCTATTATCACGCGTATTGAACACCATCTTCACGACAGTGGTTCCTCGTTGCTCAGAAGAGCATATTCACCCATGGATCTCAAGTCACTCATTTGTCTGGATGAAGGTAGTCACAGGAGTTCCCAAGAAATTGCCAACACTATTGATCCTGCCCTTTTAGATAATACCCTTCTTAAGGAAACACAAGATCTTTGATTTAGAAAGGCGGATAGGGCAAAGGAATCCAGAATATGTTGGACTTGTTGGTATGACTACAATAGGGCATTCAATCAACAATGAATAACCATGGCTTACTTCTGCTCTATATTGATTCTCTTTAGTTCTGGCTTCTTCCTGCCTTTTTTCATGATTTTTTCTTGGCAAGTAATGCGCCTAAACCCGCTTCTTAATCTACCATGACAGCATCGCGGGATCTTGGTAGGATCCCGGGGTTTGTCCCATGCAGGCAGTCATTAATTTTTAATCTGAAGAAAAAAAAAAAAAAAAAAAAAGAAAAGAAAAGAAAAAGGGTAATTGAACTGGAACCGTAGAGGTCTAGGAATACAGGATATAGGTCCTTTACCGAAGGACCTTCCAAAGAACCTCTTCTCTGTTCTACCACGCGTCCGACCCTAAACCATCCACGGAGTAGTGCGGAGCATTTCGTAACACAAATCAGCTAATCATGTCGCGACACTGAATAGTGTCGCAACCTGAAGAGGAAGCCATAGCGACAATCTGTTGTCAATTAAGTAAAACAATTGGGAACAAATTGCCCATAACGGATGCGACACCAAACTCGGGTATTTTAGATGGAGGTTCCAGGTCTTCTTCGAGTGATCTACAGAGACACTGGACTTTTGGTCTGAGCCTAACTAGATAACAAAGTTGCCAGGATCTTGCTCAGACTCTGCTATCCGATTGGACATAATGCATAATTGCAATGCAACAACCATTAATATAGGAACAGGATACCAAATATTTGATCCCGACAGAGTGGTTCAGCGAATCAATGGACCGTTCTAAGCGCTGTGCCAATGGAGGCCAACTGCGCTGCAATCCCCGAGACTTGGTTAGGATACTATCAAAGGCTATTCTCAAGCCCGGCTGGTGTCCGTTCCCGTGAATTAATTGGCGCAGTTATTTTAATCACAACTCCAACAATCTAACTTATCCCGACTCACAATTACTATAGCGCTACCGATCAGCTGAGCTTGGGCCTCCAATTTGGCCGCGCAAGCTTAGTTCACATCCATTTAGTGCCTACCTTTGGTCAAAGCTCATTTGATTTGGACGGACATGGAATTGGGGTATGGTTAAATAGTTGAGGGCCACATCTTTGGGTGCTCTAGGCAAACCTCATCTTCGCCATGTGTGCATGCTGCAGGATGGATGCTGGTGCTGACCCTATTTATAGGTGGGCTCCACAGTCGGAGGCCCAGCCCTGCAACCTGAATTTCCTGGCTCGCCAGAAAAATGTTCATCTGCGGCATTTGGAGGTGTCGGAGCCGCCGCTCTCGAGATTAGAACTGTGGGCCACTTACCTGGTTGTCCTTGGTCGGGGAGAGAGCCTGGCACGGTATTTGGGTGTTCCTCTATTAAGCGATTTTGTGGAAGAGAAGTTCAACAAACTGTTCAGTACCTGCAGTCCGCCCCTGGCTGAAACCGACAATGCTCAAGGTAGTAACATGCTCAGCTGGGTTGATGTTATCCGTGAATTCGAGTCTGACCAGGTTGAATACACTGATGATGGCACGTGCCGCTTCCCTATCCAAGGCCTGCTGGTCCAAATATCAGAAACCGATTACACTATTATGCAGTCCGGCATTCTTCAAAAGCTTCTCAATCTGTGGCCGGATCCAAGGGATGTACAGGAAGAACTGGAGACAGTTGAGCTTGCAATTGCGGAGGTGTCTGAATGGAACCAATATGCTTTACAAGGTAGGACCGTCACTGTACCATGTTTCAAATTGCAGTTCAGACTGGTGGCTAATATTCTACATAGCCGTTCAACAAAACAACCAACTGCTTCATTCCCTGAAGGAAAGATTTCATATGCTGCATGGCAGTTCTTGTCCGAGCCCCTTATCTGAAACTCAAAGATCTCATGGCGCACTCGCGACAGATGTTCCCCTGGATTCATCTCAATCAGGTCCAGCGCCAGCCGGTGAATGCATTGACACCAATACTGGCGTGACTGTTCCAGATCCCCACGAAAGTAGTGTACAAGTCTCTGAAAAAGCGCATAATGGCAGGGCTTGTAACTTTGAAGGACCGTCCCGTGACAGTAGTGATATGCCTCTGGTGCACCAAGATCTACCCAACACTATATGTCCCTCCGAAACCAGTTCTCGCCCCTGGTCTCTCCATGAGGCAAGCCACCTGTTAGACTGGCTTGAGGGTCATAAATCCCTGAATTGGTCTGAAATTGAAAAGAAATATATGCAAGAGTTTGGTGTTTATCGACGTCAAACAGCCATCCAGGCTAAAGCATTTCGACTGAAACGTGGGTGGTCGTGTAAAGTCAAAAGATCACGTACACGACGGAACCAGCGAAGAGTTCCAGAATTAGTGGTCCCCACCCCATCGCAACTTCACAAAAAAATTTCAAGCGAACAGCACTCTGAGCCTGGTCCACAGTCTGGTCCTGCCCACATCAGAGCATCAATGGGAGTATCGCCACCAAGGCAGACTCGTTCCCTTCCTTCAAGGAATGCAACTGGGAACGATGCACAAAACAATAAAACTCCGGACGTTGTTGTGGACTCGCAACATGCAGCCGGGAATATGGAAAATGCAGGCCCGACGCTTCCACTAGTGGCTCAAAGTACTACTCGCATGCATGATACGGAAGGAAGAAATTTGCGCCATAATAATTCTTTTTCACTTGGAAGTTTGCTAAGCTAAAACACTTTTTTATGACATATGTCTTCTGTGGTGATTGAAGGAGAAATTGAAAAGGGCTGTGTACATTGCTGCTTTTACCTCTTATGTCTGCAAGTAAACATTCGCTTTCAGTAAAATCCTTTTTGGTAGACTCATCCACCAGTAACCCATACCACGCTGGTGACAGTAGATCTAGGTGTTTGAGAAATGGGGACGGTAGTAGTCATCATGACTACTGTGGTGCTAGCAATGTTACTCATGAATGTTGCTTTCTGTTCTCCAGGATTCAGGGCAAAATGTATCTGTTGGTCACAATAGCAGCTCCTTAAGACTGGACAGGCAATGAACCAAACAGGTTCGGTTCCAGTGACCAAGTATAAGTGGTTCCTATTATTCGGATTTCCAACATTATTCATAATATCGCATGGGCTTCCCAATGATGTGGTGTGCAGAGAAAACAACCCATCAACAATGTCAAAATCCACAAAGTCACCAACAGGAATGCTGTCAAGAGATTTTGGATAGAACAAACTGTCCGTGCTAGCGTTTACTTTCACTAGGTGGATTGGGCTCTTAATTTCCTGACTTGAATGTATCGAAGGTACGGCTGTTGGTATTGACGAATGATGGCTTTGGCTCGTTGATATTGGTGAGGACGTGCTAGGTTGTGGATAACTTTCTCCATGAGGTATCCCAATTGAAGGCATTCTTGTGCTTCTAGTTGCTGAAATAGACCATGAGGGTTTTGTCCAGGATGGAGCATTACTGGACATAGAATGGGAATGATGAGTAGGAGTTGCTTTTTGAAATGATGGAGATGATGCTGTTGCAGACAGCAGCATGGATGAGCCTGATATTCCTGGCATAATGTATCCAGGCCAGGAGCACAGTATATTATTGCCACTTTCCACGGGAATAGCTGCTGTGGACCGGCTATTATGGATGGTCATGTGGGATGAAAAGCTATCAAGCCCAGTAGCAGATCTGCTCCTGGGCAGACTATTATACATCATACTGGGCGACACAGCTAGTCCGCTGGGAAACACTGACATGGTGCTCAAGTGACCTGATATAAGTTGTTTTGACAATGATATTTTTGGCAATACTTCATAGGCTGATGAGTGGTGTTTAGTTCCCGAGGCTGCAGCAGATGATGAGGTTGGCCATAGCTCAGTATGTGCGAATGATGAAATTGAGCCTGTTGTAGTTTTCGGGATTGAATATTTGTTGGCAGCAGTTGGCAATTCCACAATGTCAATATCCATGCAAGATGAACAACTCTTTCAGCGTGAATCGAATTCTTGAAATTCCGCCACCACGTAGAGCCGGATTCGGCTTAGAAATTGTTCAATTACATCTAACTCCATTAGCTACCGGAAAATACCAATTTTATTGGGATTTCCGGTCGTGATGGTGGGAGGTGAAGAAATCACTCAGGCAGCAGTGACGGCGGCTCCAAAAGGACCGCGGAACCACTTTGCCAACAGGAACGAACTAAGAACTGGTGTTCAGAAGATACGCCAGCATATGGAAAACTATCAAACAAATCCTCACTGGTATAATGAGCTATTCAACTTTTTCCAGGGGGTGGAGGACTTCGCAAAAGACGCCCAGAGTGGGCGTGAAAACTCTGATTCCGCTTTGGCAGACATTCACAAAACACTGGAGAGAATCCAGAACGACACTAAAAATATACGGGAGAAGCAGAGCATCATAGAGCCCCCTGATTCAGCAGCTTGTTGGAGAGCTTTCCGGGCACGAAACTGGCAGCACGGAGTACAAAACGCCTCCACCCCAACATCTCAAGACACGGGCACCACCACCCCGGGAGTACCGCACACGGAGTTAGGAGTTGACTGTGAACTCACAGTCAAGATACGTGATGAGGCAATGCGCGCTGACCTGAAGAAGCTATCTTCAATCAAGATTGTGGAACGGGCTGAGAGAGCACGAGAAAGTGCAGTCAAAAAGTCAAACAACTCTCCCCTTGCAGTGTCAGCCTTTATTGCCGCACGTCAGCTACCATCTGGGGATGTCAGTCTCCGGGCCAGCAACGCCGTGGGGGCAGAGGTCCTCCGACACCATGCTGATAAGTGGGTGAAAACATTTGGCATGACAACCCATGTCCGGGTGCCGACCTGGGCCTCGGTGGCCCACGGCGTACTCTGCCGGAGTATGGATTTAACACAGGAGAAAATGATGGACGTAGCCACTCGGCTCATAGCAGCAAATCAACACACCTGGGGAAAGGAAGCTGAAATCCTCCATGTGGGGTGGTTGGTGAAACCCCGGAAAGGTAAAAGAGAGGGCTCAATTGTGATTGAATTTACCAATCCAATAGTGGCGAACCGGGCTATTGATCAGGGCACGGTCTGGGAAGCTCAGATTCATGGAACGACTGTATTCTGCAGAGAAGGCCGCTCAAAGCTATGCCGAAAGTGCCAGAAACCGGGGCATGTACACTCTCAGTGCCCAAACTCTTATACATGCATACGGACAGGATATAACCCAAAATACTTCCAAAAATCAATCACAGTGGTCCTCCGGAAGCCTGGGGAAGAAAGGGACTACCGCATACCAAAATCTTACCGACCCGTGGCACTACTTAACACGCTGGGTAAGATACTGGAGGCAATCATCGCAAAACGGATCAGCCATGCAGTGGAGGAATATGGCCTGCTACCAGACACGCACCTGGAGGGACGTAAGGGCATCTCAACAGACCATGCAGTACAGTTGATGATTGATCGTATCAGGACATCATGGGGACGAGGACTACCGGTGGTCAGCTTACTGCTGCTAGATGTAGTAGGAGCATATGATAATGTGTCCCATGCGCGGCTACAGCACGTCCTAAAAAGGAGGAGACTAGGGTGCCTCGAACCATGGATCATGGCATTCCTGAAAGACCGCAGTACACGCATCAGAATGCCAGAGGGCATCTCAAGAGATATACCAACACCAACAGGCATTCCGCAGGGATCCCCACTATCGCCAATACTGTACCTGCTCTACAATGCGGATCTGATTGAACGATGTACTGAGAAGGCGAAAATGGTAACGGCGAATGGCTGGGTAGACGATGTATGCATTATGGCCACGGGGATTAGTGAGAGGTCAACCATTGGAAAGCTTCAACGGGCGTGCCGAACGGCGGCAGATTGGGCGTCGAAACATGCGTCTCGGTTTGATGTCAAGAAATACAAGCTCATACACTTTGTCAACCCACGATCAACAGTCCGACCACAATACTCACCACTACGGATACCCAGGGAAGGGGTTGTCATTGAGGCCAGCCGGACTTCAGAACGATACCTTGGCGTCTGGTTTGATCCAGAGCTCAATTTCAAGGAACACTGCAACCATATGCTGGCTAAAGCAGGGAAGAGCCTTGCGGCAATACGGGGGATAGCGGGATCTACATGGGGAACGTCTCTGGTGGCAATGAGGCAAATCTACCAGGCGGTGGTTGTGCCACAGATGCTGTTTGGAGTAGCAGCGTGGTTCCAGGCTGGAATAATGCCGGCAAAGGATCGTAATAAGGTAATTCAACAATTTGTAACAGTGCAAAAACGGGCAGCATGCCTAATTAGTGGGGCGTTTCGAACAACGGCTGCAGAGGCGCTAAACGTGGAGCTGTGGCTCCTACCAGTGAAGCTACAGATGGAAAGATTGGCAGCAGAGACGGCCATTAGGATACGAACAGGGCCGGAGCATGCAATTCCAGAGGGACTGCGACGAAAACGACCAATTAGTAAGACCAAGCTTGGAGGACGAACACCTCTGGAGATCCAGGCCTGGACAAAGAATGGATGCTTAGTGGCTCCCCCAGGATCTGTGGCAGGAGGTTGGGAAAGCCGGTGGGCATTCACCCGGGCACCATGGCATAAGCCTCCGGAGGTGTTCATTGAAGAGAGGGAACAGGCCACGGCCACGCACAACGCGACAATACAGAAGGATGACAAGCCGCTTGTGGTCTACACCGACGGTAGCGGCTACCAGGGCCAGGTGGGAGCAGCTGCGGTCATCCCAGGCATGGGAGTGAAAGTAAGCCGCCATCTTGGCTCGGAAACGGTGTCCACAGTGTACGCGGCAGAACTTCTAGGCATCCAAATGGCACTGGAAGGGGTCAAACGGCGGAGGGAGGCCTGGAGGCAGAGAGAGAGGATTCAGCATGGTGTGGTCATCTTCTCTGACAGTCAGGCTGCATTGAAGGCACTCCTCCGCCCCCGCATGGCCTCTGGTCAGATATATCAGCGCGAGTGCTTCCGATTGCTGGACTGGTATACAAGAGAGGGGATCCCAGTGGCTATCCGGTGGATTCCTGCGCACGTGGGGATACCCGGCAACGAAGCAGCTGACAGGACGGCAAAGGAGGCAGCAACAGGATCAGGACAACAATCCGGCGCGACAGTGTGGCTGACATCAGCGACCAAGCGGAGGATACGGGGGGACATCACACAAAAGTGGCTGAAGATGTGGGAAAAGGTGCCGGAGGGAAAGCCAACAAAGCGGCTGGTCAGGGCGCCAACAAGGAAGGTACTGAGTTATTGGAAGGGCTTGCGGAAAGCCACGGCATCAGTAATGATACAGATGCGCACGGGACGGATTGGTCTGAGCCACTACTTATCTCGCATTGGGGTCAGAGAAAGCGCATGGTGCGGGTGCAGGCTGGGCAGCCAGACACCTCAACATGTCTTGCTGGCATGTCCACTTTTGACGGAGCTAAGGAAAATGATGTGGAGAAAACTGGAGGCGAAAAAGATATCCCGGACACTGGGGATAGACGAGCTGCTTTCGGAGCCGAAGGCATCGGTGGCTATCGCCGATTTCATGGTCCAAACGGGTCTGCTCTCCCAATTCAATGCGGTGGATGAGGGAGCACTTGGTACAACAAATGAGGACAACGCAGCACAGGGTAGCTGAGTGTGGGAAATGAAGAGCAGCGCGAATAGTGGCCACAACGCCAGGATAGTGGTGGCCACAGGAGGAAACCAATGAATACAATAACTGCCAGGACCGGGCAGCCAATGACAGGGAGTGTATGAGGATGAGGAACTGGTGAGGTCGGTGATACGACAGTCTGGTGATGCAGCAAAGCCGGGTGGCCCAGCGAGAGGATGGACAGTGATGGTGATGAGGGCATACGGCTGGGTTGATGTTTAAGCTTTTGATAGATTGTTTGCATACTTCTTCTCGCAGGGACGGTGGCCGGAGGAACCAATCCGTCGGCTAAACCTCCTCTTCTCCAGTGCTGGCGCTGGCTGTTGACAGCTCGGAAGCTGCGCTTCGAGCACTCCTGCATAGCGACATGTATATAGAGTCAGCTACAACAGGAATAAGAGGTCTACTACTACTACTACTACTACTACTATCCATGCAAGATGTGTAGACCTACTTCCCATTAGCACAGCGAGATGTCATTGGGTATGTATGAGTATACCAGCCAGCCATGGTCTACTATCTCTGTTGTATTCCACATCCAGTACAGAGTATAAGAGCTGCCAACTTCTATGTGAGATGGCACTGTAAATGAAGAGGTGGAAATGGTGTTGATATCACTATAAGGAGAGTGGACTGCCAGAACTTTATTGTGTCAACTAGGGGGTGTTTCTGCATGAGAAGATTGCCTTACGCTGTCCACCAATGCCTTGTTGAAAGCTCAAGACATCAGAGAATGTTCTGAAATCCGGCGTCCGCTTCTCCTGTGTTCCATACCAGCTAATAACGCCTTTCTCCATATTTGTTTGTCTTGACGATATACGGCTATGTTTTAGATAACGTGGTTTGAGTATTGAACCAGGAGAAGCCCTTAACCGTGGCTGTCCTTTGGATTGAAATGGCAACTGCTGGGAGCCATGACAAAATTGGCTGGACAAAGTCGCATCCAATAATAAAATTCGGTGTAGGGCTGCGGATTCAAAGCCTGTTTGGAATATTAATCAGCTGCTATGCATCAATTTCAGTTTCCTGACATACTGTAATTGCGGACGTATCCACAGTTTTGAATCTGTCCGTCAAGATCTGCAACATCGATGCCTTCAATCTGTTGATATTAATGACAGAATTAAGCATAGTATGACTAGATTGATTGAAACTTACTATGAGTGCAGAAGTAAGGCAAAAACAGAAGCTTATCACATATAAGACACGAGAGGAAAGGACTCGCATGGCGAAAAGAATAAATGATTTTGATTAAACAACAAGAAATATTTGGGGGAACGTGTCTGACATATACCATTATACCTCTTTTTTCTGGATTGCAGGCTCTTTTCAATCCCCTGCTCTTCATTGAATCTTCATGTTGCGACCCTTTTTGGTTTCGCAAGCTCAAGCATCCCCAGTCGGTAACTTCATTTTAGCACTGAGAGTTTAGAGGTTTCCAGGTCAAATGAGAAGACAGGGCAAGAATGTATTATTTGCAAACCCAATTCGTGATTCCTCTGAGCCCATTTATGCTGCATTATGGCAGGCTTTGGTTTCTTGTGATCTATAAACTCTTGTTTTCCTGCACCGATGGAATGTATATGAATATCACTTTGGTCCAAACTTTTCCTCCTTTATTAGAAAGGAACCAGCATAAGTAATTCCCAGCCCTGCCAAGTTATCTTTCTGAATTATCGAATCTAACTTGCTTCTAGGCTTTACGTTGATCTATGTATGCCCCACCGATAGTTATGGTCCGCATCGACAAACCGGGCTCGATATGGCATGAACATATTCAGAGACTCTTTTCACATTCAAATTTTCCCCGAAGCTACCGTTGCTGCATCGTTGATCAAGACCTAATGAGCCTGATTCCAATTCGTGAAGTGGGAGCAGTTGAGGATTGCTTTCTCTCCGAGGACTATCGCAGCCTTTATATTTTCCTACGGTTGAATGGCTTTTTACGCCCGAATCTGGACACTGATGTCCTTACTTTCGAGCATATTCATGCACCTCCAAGTACGATAGCTACCTTCAGATAATCAGGGGAATTGACAGTGAGATATCTCGGAAATGCTGCTGCATGAAATCGGTCTCTGGCTTATGTTGATCTTGTTGCAAAATAGCCAGGGACAAGTTATCACCTAAATGTTTTGCAGATTAGATGTCAAATCACTTTTACCACTATATTTTCTTCGATTTATTTTTGGACTTCATTTTGCATAACGACATCCCTATTATGTCTACTCAGCCCGTGGACCGTGTACCATAATAAATGACGTGAAAAAAGCTACTGTACTATATTCATACGGTGACGAACCGTCTAGAACCACATATATGCAATGAAAATAAACAGAATAATGGGGGTGTCATCTGGCCACCCTTGCCCTCTCTCTGCCACTCTCGCTTCACAGGACTGAACGCTATGGAAGTGAAAGATATAGATATAAAACTGGCAAGGCGAAAAGACGAACTTTACTGTTCCATAGAGCCGGTCTCTTCTGAAGCAATCACATTGTCACCATGCCCCATACTTTGGCTTCTGCTCGCGTTGTCTGCGGCTTGGGATTGCCGCCCTCGGAGTTCCTCGTCCAGCGACCGGAGCATCTCAGCTCAATAGGTGAAATATTCGCAGATTTTCTGGAATCCTTCCTTATCGGCATCCGCACGCGTATGATTCATGGTGGAACGTAGAATTAGTTGCAGGTGAGGATAATGGTGTTCCTGGGACCCTGTCAGCCAAATATTGATTTGACTTGGGGCTCAGAATTTTCTTTTACCAAGAGCTCATCAGGGGGTGGCCATTGCCTTCCCTCCTCCTCCACAGAATTATAAGCAAGTGACGCACGTGGATGGTCAATAATGAGATAGACCTTTGCTCCACAGAGAGTTACAAGCTCATGTGATTTTCTTAGCAATGTCGTAGTTCTTTTGGTAAAAGACGTGCGTTCTTGCCTGCCAGGATCAGGACCCCCCATTGTGTTCCTTATGTTACTGAGAGAATTTTCTCAACTGGCTGGCATGCTTGTGTGAGACTGCATGGAAGCCAATGGTCTTGGGTTGCTTTATACCTACACTAGTAGCGCTGGAGAGATGAGCGTGGAAGGTAATAGAAGATAGCTGGATTCTACTGAAAATACCCACAGCCAGTTAACTTTCGTGCAATCTTTTGACCATGACTCGAAGTTGGGCGGCGCAGTTCCTCCAACAGACTCCAATGGGGGCCCAGCAGTTTGGTTCAAATGTGATCCTGTCTGTGGATACCCCGTTTCCCGTTTAGCGCTAATCCAATGCGTCTGTTTGGCTGCTTACCTAAATCAGTGAGTCCAATCAGTTATGGCAACCAACCAACACCAGCTTGCGTCCATGAGAAGGGTTACAAGCGGTAAACATAAAATCGATTCCGAAGTCGGCTTAGGTGGCCCTCAGTTTGTTCACTCAAAAGTACAAGTCAAGAACCTGCGACACTAAACAGTGTCGCAAGCTCAAAGGGCTTTTCATTATCCTGGTACTAAATAAAGAGGAAAGTGTTATTATTAGAAGACGCCACTGCAAGTGTACATCCTTCTGCTGTTCTTTCTCGAAAATGAGGTGGAATTCCCACAATAACAAAGCGCCGTGTCAATTGAGAATCCATAACCTATACTGAAGATTACATCCCCATACTTTTCTAAGCCGCCGCAAGAAAGTGGTACGGCCGCTTGAGGTTGAGATTTCTATACTTGTAGGCGGCAATGGTGGCACTTTGACAGATATACCAATGTTTGTCACTGACTGGGGAATGGGCCCGAGATAACAGTAAGTGGAGAATTTTTCAGTTGAAACTGTTTCTTGACCAATGAAGCGGAGAAATTTAACTTCATCTATTTCTTATCAAAACTGGTGCTGGTCGAATTTGGTATTGTTGACATGTCTATTCCACTATATTCTGTCCACATAGAACCTTCATTGTCTTTCCCTCCTCAGCGTTGCTTGATTGGTGACGCATAAAATATATCAATCAAACCATCTTAAATCATTCCTCCATTTTCGCCACCACCCGATGAACGTCCCCAAAGACTAATATATCTTTGTTCGGAATCGCGGAGCCTTGTAGTCACTTGAACAAGGGCATCTTCCAACAAATGAAACACTCCGAAAACTTCTTCCCGGAAGTGTAGCAGGGCTTGCTTTGACTCCTTTTGCCACTGCAATTCAGCCCGCAGGTAGCTGGCCTCATATGCGAGTTCCTCGAGCTGTTGGCGAAGATCTGTAGATGCTCGTTTCGATTGCTGCAGCCGGGAGGGAAGTCTTTCAAGGCTGGATGATGTGCCACCATAGCGTAAAATCTCATGATCTGTGGGAGAGACTTCTTCTGAAATGGGCTCAAGAGAGCGGTGAGGAAATAATGGCGACTGCATTTTTCTCAGGACAATCAAAAAGTCTGTTATATGGCAATGCCAGAGCTAGGTCTTGATGAGGGATACCTTTGGAAAAGGTGCGATAAGTCTTTTAAGTCAGTGCAAACAATAGCAATGGGTGCGAACCTAAAGATTGTCGCAGATGATCATGAATGTAATGCCAGCCCAGAATGGCCATTGAGACTAAGATCCAAGTTGCAAGCCACGTAGCTACAAAGCCTTGCAAGCAATTAAGCAATTGGTTATTCCGCACGGGAAACAGGGAACATTGCCTGACTACAGTGCCTTGCACAACCGCCCTGCCTACCCAGAACACTTCAAGTTTATTTCCCAAGCTTTCAGTCAATTATACTAGTGCTTATACAGACAGTATGTAAATAAAGCCTCTTGGCAAGCTAAGACGCGTTTTGTAATTTCTAAAGAATTTCAGCTTGGTCTTACTGTTCACGTAAGCTTTAATACACAATTTCCTCGAAGCTTCGTCGCAACTCTGCAGAACAACATCTAGGGCATGTAATATGGAACTATCAATATAACTCCTGTCTTATCTTTTCTGATGCCCCCTCACTCGGTCATACCTCGACGTATTTGTCATATAGGCAATGTCTCTCCCAGCATTCATAGCCAAAGAATGCCGTACTAGCTTGTGGCTGACACTGCCAGACTTACAGGATTCATGTCAATTAGAGAGTAGGAATAGGATCAAGTACTGCAGTGCTAACTATAGCAAAAATCTAGCCAAGTCTTGAATCATAAGTCATTGTTCAATTTAGATAGAGTAAGGGTTACAATTGCATATCATCGTCCTCGAAACTTCATGAATGTTCGCCGTTTGCCGCCTGCAACAGGCTTTAAATCTGATTCGATTTGATGAGCTGCATAAATGTGCATTGGCAGGGGAAGAGGGCTGTCCGCTGAAGTCTGTTGTTTTTAGTTTTCTGATAGGTGGCTCACTGCTGTTTCCCAGTCACTAAGGGCATCGGACGAGGATATGGCAGCTTGATGATCTGAGCTAAATAATTTGTTGCGGAGGTCTGCACATTTCTTAATAAGAGCTAAGGCGTCCGGGATATTTACTCGTTGTTTCAAAGTATAGGCAAGGTTGTGCATGCTGGTTAGAGTGGAAGGATGCTCTGGCCCGAGAACCTGTTTCCGGGTCTCCATCACCTGCACGAACAACTCTTCTGCCTCCTTCCATCGTCCTTGATTGTAGTATGCTGATGCGAGGTTGGCCATGCTGGTTAGAGTGGAAGGATGCTCGGGACCCAGCACCTGTTTC